TATAAATATGTATTTATTAATTATTATTATTATTATTATTTTTTATTTATTTATACCAAAAATACCAGGTTATATTATGATGTTTGGACATCATGGTAATACTATAGTATTTTTTAAATGACCTTTAAAAAGAAAAACGCCATAACTGTAGTGTGGTATGCAAATCAGCATGCAAAAATTATATCATTAAGGCAGATAACATTGAAATACCATTTTTTTCTTGTTAGAGGAAAAGAGATCTTGTCCAGACTGCATTTCTCTCCTACGCCCGTGTTTGCGCTGGGTAACTGGATACCCAGAGTTCTGTACTCATGGGGATGCGGTGGACACAACTGCGGCCTCGCTCAGGTGCTTTTCTCCTCTCCAGGTGAGTGTGTCTTGATAGGATCGCGTTACTCTGTTCTACTTGCTTTGGGGGCGTAATTTTAATGTGCTTAAATTCTGCGATTGCAGACTGGAGCATACCTGTGATCGGCAAGCGTCTCAGTGCCCGATACGACTGGCTGAATGGTCGCTGGGGTGCAGATCCTTACAGATTGCTGGATACAGGTGATGGTTGTGAACCTGTGGCGTCTGTCAAAGGTGCGGTCACATGGGTATCTGAGGGTGGCTGCTCTTTTTTCAAAAAGGTGAACTACATGAGCAAGGCAACATGGATATTTATTCAAGATACAAGATTTTCAATGTTTTTAAATGTTTAAAAATATGGCTGAATCCAATGCTACTGGAGTGCTGGTGTATGCATTGCCCGGGAATCCCGTACAGGACATGAACTGCTTAAGAGACGATTGTTCCACCTCCATCAACATACCTGCGTCTATGGTCCATATTGAACCCTCTGTCATGCAAGCCCTGCGGTGAGCACCTTAATCATAGCTCACGACTGAGAGATATGGATTTTTCACATTTGAAAGTGTTTGTTCTTAACCCTGCATTAACATAAATTATTTTATTCCATATTTTATTCACATGATGGGTCTGGGTTTGTAAATTATTCTAGGTTTGTAACTAATTCAGATTTTGACATTCCACTCTGTACATTAGTAAAGCCCAGGGTAATTTTCTTATCACTGTTGTTATTGTAAACTAAAACAACTTTAATTGAAATAAAGCTGAAATAAAATAAATTATTAATTTTAGATTAAAACGATGAAAAAGCTTAAATTAAAATTAGAAATGTTGCCTTGGCAACTAACTAAATTAAAATAAGTACTAAAATAAAACTTAAACTGAAATAAAAAATAAGGTTAAATAGAAATATATATACAAAAAACTGACATAAAATGACAAAAGCACATACCAAAATTCCTAAAACTTAAAATTAAAATGAAAGCTAAAAATATAAAAAATAAAAGCTGATTCTAAGTATAAATAAACACTATATAAATATGAAAAATAATACATATTAGTATATAAATAATACTAAAATAACAATGGTTCTTTTTTGTATATGTGTGAGGTTAATAACTTTAAAAAAACATGCAACATACAAACACTATTTATTTTTAAATCAGCCTGGCCATCTGTCAAAATGCTGCAATATATTTCAGCCAATTAATAAAACATTATCTTAATTAATGCTTTTGTTGTCATTTTTACAATGTCTTGAAAAGTAGTTTCCTTCAGATGAAAAATTATGTTTTAGTGACTGTCCATGAATATTTAATAAGATAAGCACTGAGTCTGTTTATGATTGGTTGTGTGTTGTCAAACAAGTCATAATAACATTCCAGCACTTTATTATTTAAGACCTTTATGTGTGTATTTGAAACAATTGCAGCATTACTTGTATTATTTAAACAGGCTGATAAATAATGCGGTGTTAGAAATGTTTTTTAAATCAGTTACAAATGTTTCATTTTTGACATGTGGGTTGTTTCCATAGAAAGGGGCGCCCTGTGAATGTGACATTTCAGGTCACGCCTTCTCCAAACTACTTCTTCGCGATCGACCAGAAGGGGGCGCTGTCTGAGATGGGCTGGTTTCTCTACCCAACCTTTAGATTCATGGCCTGGCAGGCTCAGTGGTAAGAAAACTGATGTCTGTTTGGTGCATATTTCATCCACTTTACAGCTAATGCTTCACATGTTTAAAATATATTTGTGTGTTCAATCCGATTAAAACTATTTGTTTTCATGTTTAGTGCATGTAGTGGAAACCGGGGCTAGTTGTCACAATTTGAATCCAGTGAAATGTAATGTTTAATGACCGATGACCAATGCCAATACGGATATCTGGAGAGCAGGGTGCTGACAGCTGATATTGTGATATATGTGACCCTGGACCACAAAACCAGTCATAAGGGTCAATTTTTCGAATTTGAGATTTATACATCATCTGAAAGCTGAATGTATAAAAGCATCTTTTTTGCATAGTATTTACAATATCAGTCAAAAGTTTGGACAACCAATCTCAATTTTTATTATTACAATTATTTTTCATATGTGCTGATAGATTTAAAAATTAAAATAGAAAAAAATGTAATTCAGTTTTTCATTTTGTAAAGAAATTCATTTGTATGCATGGTTTAAATTTGTAATATAATAATAATAATAAAACGTACAGTACTGTTCAAAAGTTTGGGGTCAGTAAAATATTTACATTTTTTTGAAAGAAGTGTCTGATGCTCACCAAGGCTGTGTTTATTCGATCAGAAATACAGTGAAATTATTACAATGAAAAAAAACTGTTTTCTATAATTTATTCCTGTGATGCGAAGCTGAATTTTCAGCATCACTACTCCAGTCTTCAGTGTCACACGATCCTTCAGAAATTATTCTAATATGCTGATTTTGTGCTGCTTAGTATTTTTGTGGAATGAAATAATTTCAGGATTCTTTGAAAAACAAAATTTAAAACAATTTATTTTAAAATACAAATCTTGTGTAACAAGTCTTTCCTTACGCTTTTGATCAATGTAATGCATTTTTGCTGAATAAATGTATTCATTTCTTAAAAAAAGAAAAGAAAAGAAAAATCTCACTGACCTCAAACTTTTTGAATGGTAGTGTACATTCAGTAAAGTGAAAGCTTAAACTTTTGCTTTAATTTCCTAGATGAGTTGGCACAGTCCCTGTGTTGTGTTGGATCATGACAAGGCCTGAAAATCATTTGAAAAAGCTCCAGCATGTTGGTGCCACCTGGGCTAAACACTGTAACCAGGTTCTGTACATGAGCTCGCAGAGCTCCGACTTCCCCACCGTGGGGCTCAACGTCAGCGAGGGCCGACCGCAGCTGTATTGGAAGACCATCCGGGCCTTTCAGTACATCCATGCCCACCACCTCCAGCACGCCGACTGGTTCCTCAAAGCCGACGACGACATGTTTGTGGTGGTGGAAAACCTGAGACACCTACTTTACCGGCATGACACAGAGAAGCCTGTTTATTTCGGCCACAGGTTCCGGCTGTTCGTTCGTCAGGGTTACATGAGCGGAGGAGCCGGATACGTTCTGAGCCCAGAGGCTCTCAGGAGATTAGTGCAAGGTTTCAGTACGGGACGCTACGAGAATTTCAGCTCCGTGGAGGACATGGCCTTGGGCAGGTGCATGGAGACCATGGGAGTGAAGGCTGGGGATTCAAGAGATCCAAAGCAACGGGAAACATTGAATCCTTTTAGACCAGAAAATCACCTCATTGCCCCAGAGAATGGAAAACAGCTACTACAGACCCAGACGGGTGAGTGCCAGTTTCCCATTTAAAAAATGTGTGTGTGTGTCATTTTACACTTAACCCTTAGCTCCGCCCTTGGTTACTGTTGCTAAGACATTCAATAGGAATGAACTGGAGTTTTACATGAAGGGTACCTGAACAGGAATGAACTTGGTTTACATGATGCATTTTGAGTAAAATTTGCTTATAAAGTGGTAAAAAGGTAGATATTATTATTATTATTATTACTATTATTAGTATTATTATTTTTAGGCTATGTGACACTACGTAACTTTTATCCGCTATTTATATTGAAATAAATGTAATTAAGCAGTAACATGATTAAAACCTGCAGATACTGTGAATCAGAATCACGGTTATTATAGTTAACTAAAACTAAATCCATAAAATAAACATTAACTGCAATAAAATAAAATTTCAGCTGGTTGCCATATGCACTTTCTTATTTTTATTTAGTTTAACTTGAAATATATTTAGTTTAACTGAATATATATATGTGTGTGTGTGTGTGTATACAAATTAAAACAATAATAAAAATGACAAAAACAAACAAAAACAAAAAAATTACTAAAATGTTAACTAAAATAAAAAATGAAACCAGAAAATGTAAAAATTAAAATTTATTCAATTCACTGATCAGAATCAAGCCCGATAGGTTTTACCATATTTTTTAATAATGTAAAATTCTGTTTCAATCTACCCAAACATAGATACTTACATTAGAAAAGATGTTTTATCCAGTTTAATAAAATCCCACCCTACATTTTATTCTTGTTGAATGTCATGTTTCACTCAGAAATACATAATTTTTACAGAAAATAGTTTGCAAAGATTGTTTCATGTTGAAATGTAAATGTTTAACATAAAAGTCCTTTTGTTTTTTTGATAAAGCATAAATACTGACATTAAAATTACTGATTTTTTTATTAATGTAAATAATTTTTATTTTATTATATTTTATTTTATTATAATTTGTATTATTTTAACTATAATTTCAGTTAGAACTGCATTTTAGTGACAATAAAAACAAATATTTTTCTGCTTTTACTTTTTTGTTTTGTTTCTTCACTCAGCAGCATAATAGAGCAGTATTTAAATAACTGTCATATATAAGAGTCATATATATATATATATATATATATAGAAATTGTGTACATTGTAGTTTGACTTTTGCGTAATGACACTTTTGCATCGTCCAAGATTACTCAAAACATTAATGATGTATCTGTTGTTGAATGTTTTTTCTTTTTTTCCAGGGCCCCGACTGTACTTTACCGGCATGACACAGAGAAGCCTGTTTATTTCGGCCACAGGTTCCGGCTGTTCGTTCGTCAGGGTTACATGAGCGGAGGAGCCGGATACGTTCTGAGCCCAGAGGCTCTCAGGAGATTAGTGCAAGGTTTCAGTACGGGACGCTACGAGAATTTCAGCTCCGTGGAGGACATGGCCTTGGGCAGGTGCATGGAGACCATGGGAGTGAAGGCTGGGGATTCAAGAGATCCAAAGCAACGGGAAACATTGAATCCTTTTAGACCAGAAAATCACCTCATTGCCCCAGAGAATGGAAAACAGCTACTACAGACCCAGACGGGTGAGTGCCAGTTTCCCATTTAAAAAATGTGTGTGTGTGTCATTTTACACTTAACCCTTAGCTCCGCCCTTGGTTACTGTTGCTAAGACATTCAATAGGAATGAACTGGAGTTTTACATGAAGGGTACCTGAACAGGAATGAACTTGGTTTACATGATGCATTTTGAGTAAAATTTGCTTATAAAGTGGTAAAAAGGTAGATATTATTATTATTATTATTACTATTATTAGTATTATTATTTTTAGGCTATGTGACACTACGTAACTTTTATCCGCTATTTATATTGAAATAAATGTAATTAAGCAGTAACATGATTAAAACCTGCAGATACTGTGAATCAGAATCACGGTTATTATAGTTAACTAAAACTAAATCCATAAAATAAACATTAACTGCAATAAAATAAAATTTCAGCTGGTTGCCATATGCACTTTCTTATTTTTATTTAGTTTAACTTGAAATATATTTAGTTTAACTGAATATATATATGTGTGTGTGTGTGTGTATACAAATTAAAACAATAATAAAAATGACAAAAACAAACAAAAACAAAAAAATTACTAAAATGTTAACTAAAATAAAAAATGAAACCAGAAAATGTAAAAATTAAAATATATTCAATTCACTGATCAGAATCAAGCCCGATAGGTTTTACCATATTTTTTAATAATGTAAAATTCTGTTTCAATCTACCCAAACATAGATACTTACATTAGAAAAGATGTTTTATCCAGTTTAATAAAATCCCACCCTACATTTTATTCTTGTTGAATGTCATGTTTCACTCAGAAATACATAATTTTTACAGAAAATAGTTTGCAAAGATTGTTTCATGTTGAAATGTAAATGTTTAACATAAAAGTCCTTTTGTTTTTTTGATAAAGCATAAATACTGACATTAAAATTACTGATTTTTTTATTAATGTAAATAATTTTTATTTTATTATATTTTATTTTATTATAATTTGTATTATTTTAACTATAATTTCAGTTAGAACTGCATTTTAGTGACAATAAAAACAAATATTTTTCTGCTTTTACTTTTTTGTTTTGTTTCTTCACTCAGCAGCATAATAGAGCAGTATTTAAATAACTGTCATATATAAGAGTCATATATATATATATATATATATATAGAAATTGTGTACATTGTAGTTTGACTTTTGCGTAATGACACTTTTGCATCGTCCAAGATTACTCAAAACATTAATGATGTATCTGTTGTTGAATGTTTTTTCTTTTTTTCCAGGGCCCCGACTGTTGTGCAGATTTTGTGATCTCGTTTCATTACATGCGACCTGCAGACATGTCCATGCTGGAGTATTTTACACATCACCTGCGACCATTCGGATACAAGTACAGATTCAACACTAATCATGAACAAAACAGCACCAGTGAACTTAAACATAGTTAAAACCACAATACAAATACAAGAAACACACACACACACACACACACGCACAAACCAAAACACAAAGATGTTTAATGTGACCAAAAACTAGTTTACATGAGAATATTTGATGAAAAAAGATAACAGACTATGAATATTTGTTCATTTGCCACATCAAGAAATGTCTGAATGTCATTGCATTTTCTCTGAGCCAGAATTATTTATACATTTCTTTCAAATAAAAGCCAATGTTTGATATTTTCAATATAATGCAATGAAATTCAGACATTTTTAAGTATGACTTACTTAAACTTACGTAAATACTTTTTGTGGCCACTATATATGCCAATAAAAGGAGATTGTTCAAGTTTAGCTTTTTAAAATGTTCACAGTAAAAATGTTTATTATCATTTAAAATGTTGAATATTAAAAGCTCATATATATTTAAATAAAAAAGAGCCCTTTAGCTTTATTTCTTTTTTTAGTATCCCGTGCTTTTGTGTCGGGGGTCAGTGCTCTAATGATAAGATTTACATTTTCACACAGGATTTTCTGCAGGCCTCTTGACTATCAAACTGGTTTTTGTTGCCTTGGCAACCTCCAAACCAGAACTGAGCACATGAATTGGCCTTTGGATCAAAATGCCATTTAACAACATACTCTCGACACGGACCGGGATCCAGAGTCTGTAGGCATCCCTCCTCTGACACAAGAGAGAGGAAATGCTATGTACAGGAAGTCAGAATTGCAATTATTTGTATTGTATCGCTTTTGAACAGCATTTACCTGCAGTAAAATCATCCTGTATGAGCAGCGGTGGGTCAGTCCCATATGTGTCCTGTTTGGGCCGGTCCAATGATGTGAGAGAGAAATCTGGGAGGAGGTTCAGCTCGTCTCTTTCCAAATATGGTGCTATGGTGCCGATAATGTCTGTGCCGTCTGATTTGGGATCATAGTAGGGGAACAACTCTCCAACTGCACCTGGCTCATTTATTTAATTTAATAACATTAGTATATGTGACCCTGGACCACAAAACCAGTCTTAAGTCGCTGGGGTATATTTGTAGCAATAGCCAACAATACATTGTATGGGTCAAAATGATCGATTTTTCTTTTATGCCAAAAATCATTAGGATATTAAGTAAACATCATGTTCCATGAAGATAGTTTGTAAATTTCTTACCGTAAATATATCAAAACGTATTTTTTGATTAGTAATATGCATTGCTCAGTTGGTTGCACGAGCACGTTTTTTTTTTTTTTTTTTGCGCTACAGCATGCCATTAATCAATGCATGCTGATGAACTTGTATCGTAGTTTATAGTTATGATGGAAACGAACGTAGTTAACATTCAACCCGTTCTTTTTCATCAGTAGTATTATTTGTGATTTGAATTTTGTGAACGGGAGTTCCTCTTTTGCCATGTTATAAGCTGGGCTTCGGATGCTTTCACTTTCGATTTCACGATCTTGTCAGGTTTTACAATAAAATATAATTGTCTGTTTTGCTTACATCTATAACGTGCGACTAGATGACTAGAAAAATCTTTAGTAGAGGTCAGGCCTACTTAGCACAAGGAAGCTCTCCATTTTTAAAATAAAATGCTAATGACATTATGAAAAGTGCGACAGCTGCAAATCACGTCGTTACTGCACTGCACCAGTTATGCATGCATAAGGAGTCAAATGTTGTTGTTTTTTTGTTTTTTTTGTTTTTTATCACCCTAATTAGATTATGAAGAATGATTTGTTGATCTTGTTTTCCCTTTAATACATACCTTCCGCAATATATTTTTCAATTACTTTCAAAAAGTGGTAGGGACAATATCGACCCTGGCAAAAAGTGGTGGGGACATGTCCCACCCGTCCCACCCGCAAATTACGCCTATGCTCAGATTCCAGATTTTCAAATAGTTGTATCTCGGCCAAATATTGTCCTAACAAACCACACATCAATGGAAATCTAATTTATTCAGTTTTTTCAAAAAATTGACCCTTATGACTTGGTTTTGTGGTCCAGGGTCACATATGTTCATATGTTTAAATATGTATATGTTCAGAACTAGAGTACATTGATAATAACAGATGGAAAGTTGACCAGTAACATTGACTGTTTTGTTTTTAGATTTTTTTTTTGTACACCAAAACAGTCCTGCATTTTTAAAACATACAACATACTCCAAATATTGTCGTCTCTCTATTAATATTAAGTCATAAAAACAGCATGCATAATAATAATTAGAAAAATGGTGCCTAACTTTATAATAATAATAAAAAAAGAAATGTACAATAAAAATGCCACACTGCAGAGCATTTATTATGTAATTCAATTAAATAATTACTTTTCTCAGCAAACATCATGTAGCTTTCAGATCAAATATGGCTTTTAGATACATCATGTTTTTAAAACTGATGCAAGTGTCAGTCTCTCAATTAATATAAAATCATAAAAACTGCATGTGTAATAATAATTAGAAAAAGTATTGTATTTATATAATAATTAGATATATATATATATATATATATATATATAAACTTCTGTTTTTTATTTAAATGCTTTTATTAAAAAATTCTGCAGTCCAACAATAAAATTAGGCTCAAACGTCATAATAGCAATCAAATCAAATATGGCACCTTTAGATACTTAATTTTTATTATTATAATTTTTTTTAACTAATACAGTCTTGTTGACTGAAGCGTGTGAATTTACCTTGGAGCTGGAGGTAGTGCTGAATATCGATCCATCAGTGTTCTCACAGACCTTATGAAGCAATTTACTTTCCACTTCTACACCACAGAGACAGAAAACATGCATTTAATTAATGTGATCCTGTGCTCCTGTAGCTCAGATGGGTCAAAGTCATGGGTTTGCTGTATGTCTGTTAACATTTTTTTTATTATTCATTAAGGCATTTTACTTTAAACCATTGCTTCATGCCAGGCATAATCCATAATAACGCTTCCTCCTGTTGTCTCTCACATCAAAATCCACCGACATATATCACGTTTAGAGCTGTTTTGGACTGTTTTTGATCTGTGCATATTTCTCTCCTGATTCAGATGAGATGACCTTTTCACTGGAGAAAGCCAAACTATGGATAGAGGAATCAATGCTTTGAGGTTAAAAAATGTATGGATTTGGATGTGCAGCCTTTTCAGTTCACATGATGTTAATTGATGGACTGGAGTGGTGTGGATTATTGTGATGTTTCTATCAGCTGTTTGGACTCATTCTGACGGCACAAATTTTGGATGGCCCAAGGGTGAGCAAATTTTCAGCAGATTTTTCATTTTTGGGTGAATTATTCCTTTGCTCACCAGAAATACTGCCACAAAGACAGGATTCCTCTGAGTCGGGTTACAAGTATTTGTTCAATTCAAATAATTTTCATCTGTGAATGATTTTGAAACATTAATCCTGATTTCCACTTTAGCAGATTGAAAGTTAAATGATACATTTTGAAAACTTACTTTTGTCAATAAAACTTTTGATGTTTGGCTGATTTTGATAATTGCATTAAAGCTGATATTCTTATTTTGTGAAAAAAAAGTTCATTATTAAATTATTATTGATATTTTTGGATTCTGCAACATCAAATTTAGTGAGCAAATGAGCAAAAAAAAAGTCAAGATTGCAACATACCAGGAAGCATTCTGAAGTCCATTATGGATAACATATGCTCTTCAGTGGGCGGCGACGCTATTGACTTTAGCTCCTGCTTAAAATCATCATAGATGGGGTCGCTTCGATTCACCACCCCTATAGCCAAGTTAGCCAACATGGTGATATTGGCTGAATGGGCCTCTCTGACCGCATCCTCCAGCTTCACCGTGTCCCGGTGATCCGTCTGGCCGTCCGTAATAACCACAGCCACTTTCTTCACACCGGGCCGATCTCATTGGCCTTTCTGATGCCACTTCCTGTGTAAGTGCCCTCCCCAATGTAGGGCATCCTGCGCACGGCTGCTTTCACTTCATCACGACTTAACCTCTCTTGTATGCTTGTGATCACCAGGTTAATGGCTGTAGAGAACCACGCCGACACGCGTGACCTCCGGACTGACTGACGCGCAGTCGATCAAGGTATTCACAAAGCCTTTAATGACCTCAAAGTTTTCCGGGCCGACGCTCTCAGAGCTGTCAATCACAAACACCAGCTCCAGAGGCCGTACTCTGCATATCCGACCACAACCTGACAAACCAGAATAAATCATTTAGACCAAATCAGTTCATCACTAAGCAATCAAATTTAGTGAAAACATCTGCAATTTGAATACTTACCACAAATCATGACCAACATGAGCAGTAAGCCCTGTGTGGAATACTATATCCAATAATGCAATGCACTGGACTTTACCTTACATTATTTGACCAAAAAAATCTAATTATTTTTACCCAAAAATGGGATAAAAATGCTAAATAGTTTTCTATTTACAGCTGGCATGAGGTCATGCAACAACAGCATAATACAATACTTGTTTTACACTGGAACAAATTACTTAAAAAGTTCCTAAACTAATTCTTTATTGACATCTGTGTACGTACCGTGAGACCAGGTTCTCCTTTTGTTCCTGTATTCCCCTGCGATTATAAAACACAATGTTCAGTGTGTTAAAGTTAAATAATGTAGAGATGTATGTATTAAGCGATGCTTGGAAAGATATTGGCGTTGTCAGCTATCATAATGCTTAATGATTAAAAAGTAAGTCTCGTGTGAAATTTTCCTTCTCGTTTCTTCTCACCGGTGGTCCTGTAGGTCCTGGTTCTCCCTGACTGCCTCTGTCTCCTTTACGTCCTTGTGCTCCTGGTAACCCACGATTGCCCTAGTATAGAGTAGTTACATTACAGAGCTAAAACTCACAATCGTGGTCATGTTTTCAAGCCTGACGTGATGCAACATTTTTTTGATTGCATATATGTTTGGCAGTATAACTCACCAGTTCGGTGGAAAAGAGCGGCTAACATCTCATTTTGTGTTTGATGGAAGAAAAGTCCTACATGTATGGCATGACATGAGGGTGAGTAAATGTAATTATGTGAAGGATTCATTTAATGCTTGCTGTACAAAATATGCTAGTACAAAATATGCTAGCATGCTAGTAGTGGGTATATGACTCTCCTCACCTTCTGCCCCGGCAGACCCTCTCCAGGAAATCCTCTTGGCCCCTGTATTCCCTGATATCCAGGATCACCCTGTACAAAACAGA